TAATTGGAAGCAGCTGTCATAAATCCTGGGGGCAGATCTAATCAGAATAAAGAGTGGACTCTTCTATGGAGGCTGTGGAGGCCGCAGTGTACAGAGCGTGAGAACATGGCTGTCGAGTCAAGGGGTGGCAGCTTCAAAATGCACTCTGCGGGCTTGAAAGAGGGCACCTGGAGATGAGAGGGAAAATCCCGACCCCCCAGTTCCCGGGAGATGGAAAGAAAAGCTGTCCTATATTGGGGATGGAAAATAAACACGAGCTAGCCAGGAACAATGTGGCTTCTCTACAGGGAACTAAATCCAGACCTTGAGCTGACATTCGAAGTGCCATGATCTGCCTTCCATGTGTCCAGCTGGCCAGGATCCAGCTACCTCACTTGCCCAAATGGGCCTGGAATTGTGTGCCTACCCACCAAATTCATAGTTGAAGCCCTAAGCCCTGAGGTAAAGGTCTGTAGAGATGGGTTCTTTGGCATGTAATTAAGTTCAGATGAGGACATAAGGGTGGGGTCCTCATGATGGGATTAGTACTTTTATAAGATGAGACCAAAAAAACTCCTTCTCTCTCTCCCTCTCTCGCTGTATCTCTCTCCACCACGTGAGGACCCAGCAAGAAGACAACTTTCTGCAAAACCAGGAAGAAGGCTCTCACTAGGAACTAAATCGGTTGGCACTTGGACCTTGGACTTCCAGCCTCCAGAACTGGGAGGAGTATCTGCTGTTTAAGAGCCCAGTTTACTGGTGTTTTGTTACAGCAGCAGGCACGAAGAGAGGGTGTCTGCGGGGAGGAGCTCTCCTATCCCTTCAGGTCCAGCTCACATGCTGCCTCCTCCAAGAAATCTTCCCTTACTTCTTCCCAGCAGATTTTCCCTCTCCTGTTTACGGTCCTCTATTTGCGTGTCAACTATTACAGAGGTCTTTGCTGAAATACTGACAAATATGTATTCATCTGCTCCCACTTCGTTTTCCCCTTCTCTGCCCTCCTCAGTCCCGTACACGTCCCAAGCCAATCCGAGCTAAGGCACAAGAATCTGCCAGCTGTTTGGACGGGGCATTTGACGGGCCTTAGAGCTGATGCAGCAAGTCTGCTGTAGGACAGGCTCCCGAATTACATGTTTTCTGCTCCTTTCCTTCCCTGACCACCAAGAACCGGGAACTGTGTCCTTTTTTTCAGAAATAGGTTTTTTGTACTTGAGTCTCTGAAACCGGTTCTCCCACAGTGCTATCTATCCCCCACAGGGCTGCCGGATAATATAAAAGTCTTTTAGTATAACTATATATTAAAAACTATTTATTGTTTATCTGAAAATTCAGATGTAACTGGACTGTATGTTTTAGTACTAAAGCTGACAACCTTATCTTCTCGGCTCCACACGCTCTAGTACCCTGCATAAGATCGCTGTGTCCTGCTCTCGTCTGTCTCCAGCATAGAGGACTGTGGCCCTGTCACTAAAGCTCTGGCTGCCAATCCAGAAGCCAGGGTGCCACTGCTTGTCTGATGAGATTCTCCAGAGCCACTCATTCTGCCTTCTGGTCTGAACCTCTGCTGGCAGCTCAGTTCAGGATTTACCCTGGTGGATAGGTCTGGATAGGTCTAGGGCTGGCCGGCAGAAATGGAGAAGGGATTGTGGCATGGGAGGTGCTTTCTCTGTCTCTCTGGCAAGCACATGGACCCAACGGCAATCAAAAACAAAAACAAAACATTATGCTGGGGCCAGGTGGCAGCACAGTGGCAAAGCTATTGGTCCAATGTGGGAAAGGTTCTGAGTTCACATCTCAGGCCCCGAACACACCAGCTATGCATACCCATACCCAGGACAGCTGAGAATGAGGGCAGAATGAAGAGTGGTCCGGCTGGGGATGCCCATTTATCTCTCTCTCTCTCTCTCAGAATAAATAAACTTAATAAAAAAAATCCTGCTTTATTCTCTTTCTGGAACCTCAGTATTTCAATACCTATTCTTAAAATATGAACACAATTGGGGCCTGCAGCTGGTGTGGTGGTTAAGGTGCTGAACTCTCACATGGCCGACCACAGTTCAGGGCCCAGACCTAGTAGCTTGCCTTCTCACTTTCCCTCTCTCTCTGGTAAAATTAAAGAATAACAATACATAATTCTTTAAAAAAATGAACATGATAGCATGAAACATTTTTCAGACTTTATGTTTTAAATTATATTACTCATATCTGACACTTCTCGTGGTACGCTCATGAGCTTATGGCGAATCATAGCCATCAGTTTGGGGTCAAATCAAGGTGATCCAACTCTAAGGCTCACCAGGCAAATAACTGTCTTTGCCTAGTTATAAAGACAGGAGTTCTCTTGTCCGTGTAACTACTGATTATGTTTGGAGAAGTAGGAAGTGAGATAGTATCAGATATTACTGCGATAAAATCATATTCTAGACAACTGGCATCTTCCAGTCTCATAACTGGATCCCAGTCAGCACGAAAGGGCACGAAGACATATTCCCGGTACTTCCCCTGGAGCTCCCATTTTAATGATGGCAGCTTCCTGAACTGCGGTCTAACCACTGAGCTAAGATTTCTTGTGGATTAGTTAATATTTTGGGATGCTGGAAAAGTCATGATGCATTTTTCTATGCAAAAATGCATCATGACTTTTCTGATGAGCCAAGAATTTCACATCACCTTTATGAAATAGGCGTTAACATTTTACCCACATACAAATGGGGAAATGGAGGCTTAACAGGCAGTAACTTCCATAGCTGCTTGTAGGGACTGGAAGCAGTCCTATTATTGCCTATTATTCATGCATTTGTTCTGTCACTACCTACCTACTGATGGTTAGGCCATTGCTGGAAGCAGTGTAACTTGGGGTGGTATTGGTGGCAGGGAACAATTGAACTACCTGCTGTGTCTGGGCAACATGCGAACAACCCTCTATGCCTCGGATCTGAGGTTGGCAAAGCAGCCTGGGGGCCAGGGCTGGCCTACTCTCTGGTAAATGGACCATGCTGATCTGTTTACGGACTGGTTATGGCTACTTTTGCAGTGTCAGAGACTGTACTAACCCCACAGCTGAACATATTTATAATATGGCCCTCCACAGAAACTGTTTTCCAACCTCCTATGTTAGATCATTTATTCTTTCTGCTAATAGTTCTAGGAAAGAGAGATGACCCCAATTTTTGAAAAGAGGAAAACTAGGTTCAGAAAAGTCAAGCTGTTTCTTGTAAAGTAGTGGTTCTCTGGCTTCTAAAATTTGAAATTTGCCTTTTGCCATAGAATTGCCTCTTCTTTTTGAGGTTGGGGAATTGGGAAGAATTATATAAATTATACAGACACACACATGCACATGCACATACAAAAAAGCTATTTGAACACACACGTACGAGAGAATAATCACCAACAGTCCTTTAAATGAAATCAACGTAACGCTATGAAAAACTGCGTACTAATCCTATTATTTTTCCTCCTGCAGAGGCGAGAACAGTGAAGAGTACTGTGAAAAGGTATGAGTTCAAGAATGGGCAGCTGGGAGCCTCCACTGAGAAAGTCTAGCCAGAAAGTGGCAGAGCGAGAGGACAGCTGGGCCATCCTGACTCTAAAGTCCATGATGGCTCACACTGTCTGTCTGTCTGTCTAGCTGTCTGTCCCTCCATCTCTGATCTATCATCTGTTCATCGACCCATTACCTATCTATTATCCATGCATTCGCTCTGTCATTCGATAACTTTTTATTAACTAGTACAATGTGCTGGGGCACCAGCTCATGCCAAGGTCACAATGATTCATTTTTTTCCATTTCTCTCACTAAGTCTCTCTTTTCTTTGGTTGTTTTCATTGAAACCAAAAACTTACTCTTATTACAGCTCAGTTAACCATTTTCCTATTATGCTATGTTCACTGTTTGCCATTGGGGAAAATGATTCAAATGAAAATATCACAGACAACACAATGATATCATGGGGTCCCTCTCTTTCTCTCTCTCTCTCCCCCCCTTTTTTTCTTTTTTCTTTTTTTCCCAGAAAGCATGTGCCAGAGATGGAGAGAGAGAGAGCACCCAGTGGGGTGTGGTCACATCACAATCCTTTTTCCTCCATTTCTCCATCTCATCATGATTTGCGGCATGCATACACATGCTTAGAATGATTTTCAAGCCTCCAGGACCGGGATTCAAACTGTGGTCGGGCATATGGTATTTAGCTTTCTAACACAGAGATTAATCACTGTGTTTTGGGGCCATCCTATAGGGTCCCTTTTAATGTAAATAATAACTCTTGAGGCTCTTAGGATAGGAAGAAATGAAATTCTTTTATCCAAGCCAAAGAGACTGTCCAATTTACAGCGCTGAGTAAAGAATTCGCACATGTGTCTTACTAGTTTCAAAGATTCTTCAGTAAGGCATCAGGACACAGCCTGTTAGGATAAGCCCCATCTTTATCCAGAACTACCATCATCTCTTTAATATCACAAGCTTAGAAACTCTTCTTTTGGGACCAGCAGATGGCATAATGGTTATGTCGTTGGACTCCCATGTGGTCAGCCGCGGTTTGAGTCCTGGATCTGGTGGCTTAAACTCACGCTGGGTGCATGTGCATGCGTGCCCAAGATCCCGAGAGGAGAATGGAGGAGAAGGGATCACGGCATGGCCATCCCTCCTGGGGGATGATTTCTTGCCTTCCATCTCTCTGTCTCTCTCTTTCCGGTGAACACACGCACCCTATGGCAAAAACCTCTCCAAAAAAAAAAAAGAGACACTCTTCTTTCACTAGCAGTCAAGATATTTAAAAATTACAAGCAAAGGTTAATTATGTAAAGTGACTATCAAAGCACTTCAAATTAATATTCATATTCTTGAACAAATGAGAACATTTAAATTGTTGCATTTTATATATAACTATGTAATAGCCTACATTTAAATATTTCTGACTCTGAATTTGTCATTTATTACTGTATTGATAAGACAGGCAATATAAGAGATGTACCAATTACTCCACCGATAATAGAATATTTAGAAATAACTAAATGAAACTTACTGTGTATTCTGATTCCAGTTGTTCATTTGGAGAAGAGGGGAAAGAGAAAAAGAGAAAAAGGATTAACTTAGACCACACTTATATACAATATAAAACCACAAAACTAACAAATACTGGTGACTTATAATTATTAAAAATGCGGAAAAGAAACCTTCCAGAAATTAAACTTTCATAAATACGGGATCCATATTTGTTCTACAACTCTTTATACGGGATGTCTGTGGTTGGGCAGATAAAGACAGTAAGACAAGATTCAATTAGCCTATAAGTTTGTGGCTAATTAAAAACCAAAGAGTTGGCATTATAAAAGCAAAATTAAAGACTAATAATTCCAGTAGAGCATTTCATTAACCACCAAGGGACTCTCTGAAGTGGAAAAGTAGTTTTTATAACCAGTAAGAGGAGCTTGTTATGATGATGTTCAAGTGGCATCTCGTGTTTTTTTAGTGTTTGAGGGCAGGAGCCGAGTCTTCTCAATGTGGGGAGGCTACAGTTTCTACAACAATATTCGGTACAGAGGGTTTATTTCCATTGCACTGCAAGTGAGGGGAAGGTAACTGTAAATATTTTCCTAGTACCATATTATATTAACTTAGGGGCTGTAAAACAAAGAAGCCAAAATAAACAATTTGTTTACAGACAAATCATATGATAAATTTACTTAGGGATTATTGAGGGAATGGAAAAATAAAGATACAAAAACCTCTAGAAAGGTCACTAAAGAGATCTTCACTCTCTCTCTCCGTGAACTATTTGTTGCAATCAGTTAAGGAAGATGGGCAGGGTTAGCGAAACCCTCCATCCCTCATGCCCTTCCAGCCACATCTCAGTATTAGTGCCGATGACTGGGAGGGAGGAATCAGGGGGCTCTTGGAAGGCGCTGCTTGGATAATGCACCCTAAGTCTGTCAAATTCTATCACTGCTATGCCCTTGCATTCAATGCACGCTGTACGATGGTTGCACTAAAAACTTACCTGTAATTGTGTAGGGATAATAGTTCCAAGCCTTCTCTGTAACATAAAATATTTTGGGGACAACAGCTCTAGCCCAACTAGGCAGTTTGCTAAAAAAGAAAAAAAAAAGAAAAAAAGGACAGTTAGAATCTGCTCAGAGCCTGACCGTGTTACCACATCTTTCTGGATAAATTGCTGGTTGAAATCAGAAATCAGAAGGTTGTGAAGCATCTCTCCTTTCCAGAGCCATCCCTCTGGTCTTTACCAAGGTTAATTGATTCTTGTGCAATCTCCTGTGCTCTTTTTTTCTTTCCTCTCTTCTCCAAATCTGTAGAGGCAGAAAAATTGAAAGCCTGTCCTTTTAAATTGGGTTTGCAAGGCCAGTTGAATTCCGGGCCTGGAAGGAGCCACGTATAGAAAGTGTGGCCAGCCTGGCCATTAACTCCTAGGAATGGTATAGTGGAAGCATATAACCCCAAACACGGGCAGGCTGGGGCGTGCAGAGATAGACTTTAGAAGCAGACTCTAGCCTAGCAACACATACTTACAACAATTTGAAAATGGACAAAAGCAATGGAATAGCAACTCAGAGATAAAAGAAAGAAAATTTAGCTCCTTGATGATTGCAGTGGATTCAACTGTGTCCCCCAAAAGATGTCTATGTCTTAACCTCCAAGACCTGTGAATATGACCTTATGTGAAAGTAGAGTTTTAGGCTGGCTCTGGGGCCCAGTGGTTAAGGAAGCTGGATTGCTCATGGCTGGCTGACTAGTTCAAATCTTGGCCTTAGTGGCTTTAAAAACATACTGGGGCTCTTTCCCACTATACAAGATGGCAGGTGAAAAGCTGCAAAGCAGGATAGTGAGGAGAAGAAACCTGAAGTCAAGAAGGCTGATGCCAGTGGCAAGGTTAAAAAGGGTGACCCCAAGGCTAAAAAAGGGGAAGCCCCATTGCAGTCGAAACCCTGTCCTAGTCCAGGGCATCAGCAGATATTCCCGGTCTGCCATGTATTCCAGGAAGGCCATGTACAAGAGGAAATACTCGGCCACTAAAGCCAGGATCAAAAAGAAAAAGGAGAAGGTTCTTGCGACTGTCACAAAACCAGTTGGTGGGGACGAGAATGGTGGTACCTGGGTGGTTAAACTGCGCAAAATGCCCAGGTATTATCCTACTGAAGATGTGCCTCGAAAGCTGTTGAGCCATGGCAAAAAAAAAAAAAACCCTTCAGTCAGCCTGTGAGAAAGCTATGAGCCAGCATCACTCCCGGGACCATTCTGATCATCCTCACTGGATACCACAGAGGCAAGAAGGTGGTTTTCCTGAGGCAGCTGAGCAGTGGCTTGCTACTTGTAACTGGAACACTGGTTCTCAATTGAGTTCCACTGCGTAGAACACACCAGAATTTTGTCATTGCCATCTACACGAAAATTGATATTAGCAAAGTAAAAATCCCAAAGCACCTTACCAATGCTTACTTCAAGAAAAAGATACTACAGAAGCCCAGACACCAGGAAGGTGAGATCTTCAACAAAGAGGAGAAATACGAGATTTCAGAGCAGCGGAAGATTGATCAGAAAGCTGTGGACTTGCAAATTTTACCAAAAATCAAAGCTGTTCCTCAGCTCCAGGGCTACCTGCGATCCGTGTTTGCCCTTACAAATGGAGTTTATCCTCACAAATTGGTGTTCTAGATTTTTTGCCAAGAACCTAATTAAATAACTGATGATATATTAAAAAAACACACACATACCCCCAAAAAACCACACTGGGTGTATATGCAAACATGCCCAAAATCAGGAAAAGAGGGAGAAATGGAAAGAAAGGATTGTGGCATGATGCCCCAACTCCACCCTCTTTATCTCTCTAGTGAGTATGTGTTCTCTCTGGCAATTTAACAAAAAGAAAGAAGAAAAAATGGGGTCTTTGCAGATGTAATTAAGGGTCTCAGGTAGTCATCCTGGGCTTAGCATAGGCCCTAACTCCAATAACTGACATCCTTAATAAGAGAAAGGAGTGGGAGATTTGAGACTCAGAGACATGAGGGGAGAAGGGGAGGGGCTGTGAAGATGGAGGCAGACATGTGAGTGATGGAGCCAAGTGCCAGGAACACCAAGGACGGCCACAGACACCAGAGCCAGGAGACAGGCACAGTCTCAATCCTCCCTCAGGGCCCCCAGAAGGAACCAACACTGCCCACACCTGATTTGGGGCTTTGGGTCTCCAGACCTAGGAGAGGATATATTTGTGTTGTTCTAAGACACCCAACTTTTGGCAGTTTGTCGGAGCAGCCTTGGGAAGCTAATATGAGGACAGCCATCTCTTGGTGCAAGGACCTGGGAGGCCATTTGCAGAAAATAAATTCCTGGGGCAAGCAGACAGTGTAAAGGTTATGTTGCTGGACTCCCACATGGCCAAAGGCAGTTCGAGTCCCAGACCTGGCAGCTTAAACTTACATCAGGTTCATGTACATGTGTGCCCAAAATCCAAAGAGGAGGATGATGGAGGAGGGACTGTGGCGTGGCCATCCCCGCCCCCCACCAGGGGGATGATTTCTTGCTTTCTGTCTCTCTGTCTCTTTCGTGAGCACATGCACCCTATACCAAAAATCTCTCTTAAAAAAAGGAAAGAAACGAAATCCCCAGAAGGCACTGGCTCCAAGGTCTTTCATAAACCAAACATCAATGAAGTTCTGGGTCCCTTCAGAGGCAAGCCTTACAGCATCGTGCAGGGCCCAGAGAATTCCTCAAATATCATATTTAAATATGTACCATATTCTGCTCCTTAAAATGTACCTGATTTTATTTTGCCTCAGCACTGTAACCAGGGATTTTCTGTCTTTTCAGAGGCTACCATTTCACGTCTTTCCTGACCTGGGGCCTAGGCTGAGCATCTGGGAAGCTCCCGTGTAGCAGTAGATCAGACCCAGGGAGATGGTGTGGCGTCTCCACTCCTGAGGGCTGCAAGTTGGCAGTGGAGGGCGGCAGGAGGCAGTTTTGAATCTCAGGATGGCATAACTTGGAAATGGGGAATCAAGCTAAGAGAACCCCAAATCCCAAACCCTCTTGAATGTGGAATTTAAATGACAGCCCCAAACAGTAAAATCCTGTGCACCTTGTATTCTTCTCAAATTGTTTCTCTTAATTCTGACAGTGTCCAGGCCCTGTTGTTGAAAAGACACGTATGTGTTTCTAATGGCTGGCCGCACCTATCTCAAGGCTCAGGATTGTTTATCAGGATTAAAACAAAGGGGGAATCAGAGCTCCCCAAAGCTGGGACGTGCAGACGGGAGCCATGGCTCTCGGGTGGGTGGGGAGGAAAGGCCGATGCTATTTAGTAAGTCCTGTAACCATCCCTCTAGCTGCTCAGGGCGGAGCGCAGCCCTCCTATAAAACCGTCTCTGCAGTAACTGCTCATTCACCTGGTACTCACAGGGCTCAAAAGGACGGGGCTGTTCTCTGACAGGCTTTTATAGCTTTTGCCAATGATTGATGCTATCCTCGCTGAAGTGGGAGTGCAACTGAGGTTGACGTCGAGGGTGGGAAAACCGCACTGGCTTGCTTGTAAAAAAAAAAATGACCATAAGCAAAACTTCCCCAAGGTTCCTTCCTGTTTGCGTCTGCACCCTAGAGCAATATGCCAGTGGACAGGGTAGAAAGGTGTGGATTCTACTCACAGGCAAGAGGTTTTCGTGTGCTTCTAATGGACTGGAACAGGGTTGGAAAATCTCCCCAAGTAAGCAAGGTTTCCAGCTGCACTGCACACCTCCTCCTCATTCCGAGGCTCTTCTGGTGGACCATCTGTGGCCCAGGTCCTCCTTCCCCCAATTCAATCCCTACAGTATTTAAAAAGCCTCCGAGCAGAACCATATTCCTAAGCAACTACCACTTTCTTCAAGGAAGATGAAAAAAATGGCAATTTCCCATTCAATGGGCAGGACTGCAGATTCTGCTGGGTCGTTGGAAAATTCATGATGCATTTTTCTATGTTTTTCTATGCAAAAGTACGTGATGACTTTTCCAACTCAACAGAATCTTTATTTTAGCTGTTTCATCCACCAAGCACTGTAATCAACTACAAATACCTTTCCATGAAAAACACAACCATTTAGCCAGGATGGCTGATATGATTATATGTGATTCTTCTCTTTTTAAAAATTTTTAAAACAATTTTTTAAGAGCCTTAGGACTCGTGTGCTTGCTGGAGACAGACAGTGAAAGGGAAAGTGAGAAATCACCATCCCCCCTCCTTTCCTCCATTCTCCTCCCAGAATCTTGGGCATGTACATGTGCCCAGTGTGATTTTCAAGCCACCAGGTCCAGGACTTGAACAGCAGGTGGCCATGTGGGAGTCCAGTGACATAACCACTATGCCATCTGCTGGTCCCTATGTGACTCTTCTCATTAATCTTGGAAGGATGCCCATTTGATACGTCATTTGCCAGACCAGGCGCAAGACGCATTTACAAGTTCCATGATAGGTCATTTAAATATTTTTAAGCCCACTAACCATCCTTCTCTCAGCTCCCAACTTCCCCAGAGCACAACATTATTTGAATCATTTCTGTCTGAGAAAGTAAAATTTACTTTTCCCCGCAGCAATGATTTATCAGGGCCTGCGATAGAAAATGGTATTGAATTAGTCCCCACTGTGGCTGTCACTTTCGTGATGTATACTGTCATGCAGCCTACAATGCTAAGAAAAAGTCTGCCACTCAAACTCACTCCCAGGTGTCACACAAGAGCCTTTCTTCTAGAAAAGCAGCGAGTGTGAATCAAATCCTCTGGGTCCACAGGCCAGGATCAAACCTTCCAATGGCCCATCTCGCCAAGGCCTAGGCTTTAAAGACGCCGAGGAAAAGGAAGGACAACACTCAAACCTCCCTCTCTGGAATCTGTAATCGGGCTGAGGTGCACCACCACCACACCTGCATCACACTCCCCTACATGCCCCTGTCAAGGTTTCCCAAAGATAGACTTGGCAAAATGTTTGCTTTCCCACTTTCAAACTCCGGCATAAAATAGACACAGTCAGGTGGCCAGCATGCTCTGGTTTGCCTGGGACTTTCCAAGGTCTGAGCACTGGAAGTCACGCGTGTCAGGAAATCTCTCAG